TATCACCGGCCTTAAGGGAATAGCATTATTCGATTCTGTTTAGATTAAGTAATTACTTAATTGCCTTAAAACAGATTATTATTCATCATTCCCTGACACTATCGCGTATCTCCCATGATAATTCCAGGCAACCAAGTCTCTCGTAGTCGTAAATCCTCTGTTATGATGGATGACGGGGAGGATGCATACGAACGCCTGAAAGAGTCTGAAAAACTGATCAAAGAGCTAAATGAAACATGGGAAGAGAAACTGCGCAGAACAGAGGCTGTGCGTCAGCAGAGAGAGGCTGTACTGGCAGAGATGGGTGTGGCTTTACGAGAAGATGGCGGCACCCTGGGAGTGTTCTCGCCTAAAAAGGTATTTTAAAATAAATCGATGAACTTTGGATGTTAGTCTGGTTTTGTTCAAAGTTTAGGCAACTGAAGAATGTTGTGTTAGGCAAGAATGTGAATAGGATGTATGTGTTAAAAACAAAATGCCGCTTTTTTCAATTTTTCGGAATTCAAAGCAGAGACAGATAAAAAGATGTTGAAATATTTACCTGATAGGAAATCATATTATTGCCTTTCCAAGATGTATAAAAGTGAATTGTGATTATTGATATTTTAATACTATATTTTAAATGTTAATATATTGTTTTTTAGAACAGGCACAGATATGTTTTCAATTCTTCAAAAAGATATTTTACTTTGGTATTTTCTGTGATCTTTATAACATGTTATATACAATAATGCAACTTTCATTTCACTTTCACTTTCACTTTCATATTAGACTCCACATTTGGTAAACCTGAATGAGGATCCTCTGATGTCTGAGTGCCTGCTGTATTATTTGAAAGATGGCATCACCAGGTATTTTTGCGTTATCCAGAGTTGATTTTGTGCTATGAGAAATAGTGATAAATGTATAATACTGTAATGTAGAGAAGGACCCATTTGAAAATTAACTAAATATTGGAAATAAGGAACAGCAAAATATCTCTAAACTTTAAATGAACATAGAAATAGAGTTGTCTTAAAATTAGAATGATATAAATCATGACTTTATACAAGTTTGGAAAATACATACATTGAATGAAGTGTGTAAAACAATATGTTTTTTTTTAAATTTTGTATTATGTAATTTACATGCTTTAAAAATGCCAAGCACCTTTAAAATACACATGATATATTTATTTTCAGACTTGGTCGTCATGATGCCAAAGTTTTACAAGATATCCAACTGAATGGAGAACTCATACTGGACGAACACTGCATGTTTGAGAACATTGAAGGTGCTCGTTACATTTAACCTTACATTAAGCAAGATGTTCTTGCCCTGAAGTATTCTTGTGGAGTTTATTGTGCACATTTTCTGGGAACTAGTGCAATTGTGTCTCTTCAGAAATTGATTATTGGTCAATTTATCCAGAATTATTTTAGTTTAGTTTAGTTTATCATGGATTTATTAACTGTTTTAAGTGCTTCACACTCATTATGTGAATAGCTAATATACATTTCTAGTAATTTAAAAGTAAACCTGACAAACACTCACTCCTTAATATGGGCAAGTTGATTTCCTCTTTGCAGTATTAATTCTCAATTAATGAAACAATTATGATAATTAAAGATGCACTGCATTTCTCTAGGCCAATAACAAGTTTTATCCATAAAATTCTTCTTATTCTCAGTGGTTGATCAAATTGATTCCAATTTTTTGTCATTCTATTGTAGGAGTGGTCAAGCTGATATCTAGCAATGACGCCATCGTGTATCTGAATGGGAAGAAGATCACTGAACCCACCATCTTGAAGACTGGGTCTCGTGTCATCCTGGGGAAGTCTCACGTGTTCAGGTTTAACCACCCAGAGCAAGGTGAGTTGAGATGTGACAGGGTAATTGTGCTGAGAGCACACCTAACACAATGGTTGAGATAGCACACCTAACACAATGGTTGAGTCCAGTGCTGTATAGCAATTGTGTTTGTTTCATATTGAACTCTAATACATTGGTTGTGCATTGTAACAGACCAGACTAATACCCTGTAGTATGTAATCATATCGAGCACAATTTATAGGACTAATCTTAAGTGTTTACTAAGGCATGTGAAGTACTGCTGAAACTGTGTTCCTTTTTGTTTGGAATATCTACTTAGAGAAAACTGTTTTTCTGTGTTTTTTTTAATTGTAAGGAATTAACCTAAGAGAATTTGTACTACTTTCTTCCTCTTTTTGGAAAAATTGATATTCCACTATTACATTACAATATTGAAGGACACAGATTTCATAATTACTGTGTATTGAACATTGCTTTGCTTTCTTGTGTTTTTTAGCTAAGAAATAACATAGGGCATTGGCAGCAGAGGCTTTCAAAGTTATTTCTTTGTTTTGCTGATTTTTGTTAGGTGCTTTTAAAAATGTAATCAGTTTTATATTAAGCTCTGTTTGTAATTCTGAAGGGTAGGATTAAACAAACAACTATTAAGATAAAAGGTACTACTATTAATTGAAATTTTTCTGAATAAAATATCTAAGTTCAAACTATAAAAATGTAAATCTTTTGTGAAGTCTTGTGGTGGTTGTTGTGGGTGTAAAATATCATTTTCCCTGCATGTGGTTTAATAATTTTAATTGAAAGACTAGAGTACTAATTTATATTTTCAATGAAAATAATAATTGGTTTTGTTTACACTATAATATATATATATATATATTAAGAGATTTAAATTTTAAATTTACAACCATTTTAAGTAACATAAATATCATTTTGTGTAAATAATGATGGAGCGTCTAATATTTTCATATTAAAAATACATTGAACATTACTTTTGCTTTTATAATTTTAAGAAAAAGTTACTTTATTTTGAAATGAAATAGTTTCAGTCTTAATATCTGCTGAATGAAAAAAATATAGTAATTTCGGTGATTGACAGAAGAATTTTTCCATATTCCATTGCCATTATTCCATAGTTTGTTGAATATGAATATATTTGAGTTACAAAATTTTGCATCTCTTGAAATTTTTTCCATTGTCACTGACAGTGAGTTGTCAAAATGTTTCTCAAAGCTACACAGTACTTGCCTTCTAGGCAGTACTTAAGAGGTTGCACAATTTAAAATACACTCAGTATAATGTTTAAATTGCTTAGCTTTGCCTTTACTAATCTTTCTATTACTTTTCATATTTACTCTTGCATTTGTCTGCCTTGTTTAATCTGTAGCCAAAATCCTCTCGGCCCAAAAGGCATCCATGACACTTGACCTGCCTCCGATGTGTAAGTGGTTCTTAAAATGCACATGCGTTACCATGGCGATCACTTTGTTGATCTCATTCCAATTCTGCACTGTTGTTCATGTCAGTCTGCTATTGGTCAACTGCATTTTAGCTGTGATTTGATTGTTTAGCTACAATGTATTCATATCTGTGATTGGCTGAATGTAGAATGGCCTGTGATTGGTCAGATTTTTATTTGGAATTTTTTTGACGCTTTAGTAATAAGAGCACTGCAACAAATTAAGCACTTATTATTATTTTAGAAAGGAAAGAATAAATATTTCTAACCTTGAATTTTTTTTCTATGAAGTGAAACCAAAAATGTTTCATTTTTAAATTCCATGTGCAATTTCTGTTTCTCAGTGTAAAAAAAAGTAACAAAAACAACTTAAAATTTAATGCTTTTACAAGTGAGCCTTAAAATTCACCCTGAGCTTCAAGAATCACTTTGTGACTTCAGGATGTTTTTGTTACATTTTTAACTGCAAGACTCAGGGTGCTACCACCATATTCAAATTGAAAACATGTCCATATACACACACAGTGTATCTACACATATATATATGTCTGTATAACTTAGAGACTAATAATGCATATATCAAGTGCATGAACACTAGTGCAAAATGACCAAGTCAGACCTTTTAAAAATAGATGTATGTTTTAGTGTTTGTTTTAGTTTTGTTCTTTTTTCACATCCAATAGTTGAATAAGTGTGATTTTATTTTTTTAATACTTTGCACTTTGACTATGTAATTTAGTTGTTGTTTCTATAGCAAGCACATAGTGATTTTGATTTTCATTGCATTCAGCATTTCATTTCCTCCAAAATTTTATCTGTCATTATTTCTTTTCGATTTGTCATACGAAATTTGTTCTTAGGAATCTATCACAATTGGCAAGCTTTTGCACAAATTCAAGGTTGATACCAATATATGCTGTTATTCACATCTAATGAAATGTTATATTTAGTCAATAGAAGTGATATAGTATATTTAGAGATTTGTGGCTTTTCCATAGATACTAGCGATGTTGGTTTGTTACAAATTGTTAGAGTTTGGAATGTAAACCTAATAAATTGGTCTTGCTTTGCACCATTTGTGGTTTTCAACCAACCAGTTGCAGTTGTGATTTTAGATTTTAACTAGTTGACTAATATTAATTAAGATGCCTTGCTTTACCCCAACACGGGTGGGTTCTCAATGAGCACAAATAGAAGAATTTGATAGAAATTTAGTTGATTATCACAGTTCAGTAATTATAAAATGTTGAAAATATTTGCAGTGGCTCAGGTGAGATGTTGATTAAAAGAAATTTGTGTTACATATCAGCCTTTAGATAACAGAATGTAGATAGTGTGTGTGTGTGTGCGTGCTGGTGTGCATGCATGTGTGGTGGTTGAGAAACAAAGATATGCCTGATGCATGTATAAATCTCAACCCAGAAAGCATACAGAGTAGATACCAGTGGAATATGATGTATATTATCAGCAATATATGTATGTAATTTTTATAGTAGTTTAGGAAGAGTATTTCATATACCTCCTCGTACATGTAGTGTATAGATATGTGTGGTCAGTTTAGATGATAACAGGCTGAATCTCCTTCAGAAATTAGAAAGTGATTATAAATATACCATTTGTGTGTGTGTGTGTGTGTGTGTGTGTGTGTTTAAAACAATTTTTATCATGTTTGCAGGCGATTAGATGTTTGTAGGCCAGTTAATCTAGAACATATTAGTTTAGACCTATACTAACTGTAGGAGTAGAGAATAAGGTTTTGTTGACAGTCAGTTTGTGTTGATGTAATTTGAAACAAACCATAACACAGGCCAACTAGTGGTGTACAAATTTTGCTGAATCAGAAGTTCCATGTAAGAACACCGGAGAGTAGAATGGTTTCCTATAGTGAGCTTATCGTAAACTGATGGGCTGCTAAGATTGGTGGTGCTAAGTTACAAATAGATCAGCTTACAACTTGAATGGAAACACAACATATAAGGACCTAAATTGATTTTTGTGCCCAGGATTGAGAAGTGTGAACCTTGAAAGATGATATTATATGAATTAATACGTGAGGTGTTTGTTTTTTGTTTTATTACCATGTTGGTGTGTTTGGGTACGCATTGGGTGTGTGTAAAGATCATCTGACCATTATATCTATGAGACATCATTGTGCTAAACTTTTCAATTTATAGACTACATTGGTACAATATATGCATTTGTGATTTCATTTTTACAGCCAGAGAAAAAAGAGAGAATGTGGAAAAGAAATCTCCTGGAGACATGGAAACACCTGGTGAGTTTCACTTTCACTTTTGACTCCTTAAACTTCACTTCCAACTTCTTTCACTTTTAACTTCTTACTTTTATTAAATCAAGTTTGCTTTAAACTCTTATATTTTCTTCTCAAAAAATGATTCACTTTCCTTGATTACTCATCGACTTCTTTCACTGTTTGACTTTTGAGCAGTTTATTCTTTCTATTTCACTTTAAACTCGAGCTTTTAGCTGTTTCACACTCAGACAGCTCATCACATTTATCTGAATGTTACTTGAGACAAACCCTCGCCATTATGTTGTTTGTTAGACAGTTCCCTCAGGGCCTCATTTTGCTTTGGGTATACTCGGGAGAACATATGTATATTGCCCTCTGCCCTTATTATTGAGTATCAAAAGAAATGGAACTTTCCCTTGTGTCTTTCCTTTCGTTATGATATAAAGCAAGTAATAGAAGGTATTGTAATAGAAACTTGGTCATTGGAAAGGTCAGCCTCCTGTTATTTACAGTTGTAGGTGGGATTGAGGGGAGGTGATAAAAAAAGGGGGGGTCGGAGAATTGTGGATTTATAACCCAAGCCTTAGGGATTAAAACTGGGGAAAGGGGGGTATTTATTTGCCAATTTTCAGATGAAACAGGCACTGTTTGTTTTATCTGTCCCCCCTCTCCCCTCCCAACAAAATCTTCATCAAAGAGGTCAAATCTTGGAATTACATCGTTATTTCCGCTGTCATTTGTGCAATGCAGTGCACTGGCCTTAGCTGACATTAATTTTCACCACAAACTCTAACAGTGATTATAATCCCTGGGAATGAATTACACGTAATTTTTTTTACATCCCATGACTGTAGTTTGGCCTATGAGCAATCTTGCCTGATATTGGGTATTTATGGGTAATAATACACGTATCAGTTTTTGGTTTATATACGTCCAGTGTGCAGCCTACACGCTGACTGTGTGTTCTGTTTATTTGTAGGCCCTCTCATTAGTAGCTACCTCAAAGACCTGAAATCGTCTTGGAGTTCAGATTCTGACTGTGACTTCGGTACTTACTATCAATTTTATTCTGACTTGAAAATTCAGTGTACATGTATTTCTTGGTTTATTTAGTGAAACAGATAAGTTATGCTTTGGATATGATATCTGGTTCACCTAGATTTTTGTTTTGAAGAAAGAAGGTGTAAAGTACATTGAAATCATAATACTCTTATCTTTGGCTAGATTTTGATATCTTTTGTTTACTTTTTGATTCAGAAAATGTTCTAAAAGGTAAAGTACAAGAATTCCCACCAATATTGGATACATTTTAACCCTAAAAGGCATGCTGTTGTTTTTATTGTTTCTAAATTGTATCCAATTTTTAATTGGTGAAGAATATATCAACTGAATTTTCAACCCCACGTAAATTTGATAGTAGAATATTTGGACTTGAATTAAGGCTTTAGCTTTAAGCAGTGTGCATGGATCCAGGAATTGCCATCTCTGTTAATTATTCTCTCCCCGTCCCCCTTTGTAGCTTCGTAAAAGAGTTACAATTTTTTTGCGTTGAAACAGTCATCTTGCTAATCTCCGACAACCTGCTAGTATAAATATGCCTCCAGTTTCAACCCCCAGCCATAATTTAGGGCTCGTTCACATAGACTCCAGCGGTCTTTGAAATCGTTCCAACTTTGCAGAAACTGATTGCAATCAGTTAAACAGTTTAACACGCCTCCTCTTGTTTCCAACACACCCACAATACACTGGCTTTCTGTAATCTACTCAGTGCCAGGATGAGAAGTGTTTAAGTTTGAACTGATTGCATTTAGTGACAGTCCCTACAGAGTTGGATCGTTCTACACAGACTGATGGAGTCTATAGGGAATGAGCCCTTACTTTGGCTTCTATAACCATGTTTCAATTTGAGTTAGGTCAGCCTAAGATCAATTCAATTTAATGGGAATTTTACCATGGTTTTCTCATTATGTAGTCATATCATATTCAAATACATAGAGAGTTTTAATTGATATGTTTTATTATTTTACAAATTAAATAAACAATCAAATATTAACAATCAATTGAATCATTTTATTTTACATCAAATGTATGTACTAGTATTTAGTTCAGATTTTACATATTCATTTAGGAATTAAAATTGATCCCAGTAAGCTTATATCCTAGTACCACCCTGGTCTTTAGGAAGGAACCTGATTGGGGGTGTTCATTAAGAAACAATTTAATGTTAACTTTTCAACTAGCTAAAATTGGTATTTGGAGACAATTTTTGGGAATTTGAAGAAAATGAAGATGCTGCTTTGGCAGTGTGTGATTTATTACTAGATATTATTATCTTAAATTTTTTACCCAAAGAACCTATCCTTGGCTATTGGCCCAATCCTTGCTTTTAGTCCTTTTCAAGACCAGTGCCTTTGTTTAGAATGTACACATTGAAAATACATGCCAAGTATACTACACTATGATATGTGTTTGTTTTTGACAGAAAATGGATTTTGGTGCTTTGCTTATTTTTTGCCTGTGTACCTGGCTTCTGCTTAAGGAAAAAAAACTGTTGTAGAAAATGTTTGTGAAGAAATCTAAAATTAAGTAATATTGTGGTTTTGGACAAAAGGACTTATGTTGAGAGTTTATTTCATTGCCAAGCAGATGTTTTCCATGAATGTCAGATTGTTAAGTTTGCCTGCGAATTACACGTGCGTAATTTTATTATCTTTTTTGTTGAATTATTTCCCAAAAGTTACAGATTTGATACTACCAGTATAAGTTAACTTTAGAGTGGAAACTTTTGGGAATGTATCTTGACTATATATAAAAGATGGTTGCTCAAATTTCCCACAGACCACAGCAGTCTAAGACTTAGTATTTGAATACGACTGTAGAGATGGCTGTACCAGTAAAAATTATTTCCTTATTTTCTTTATAAAATTTAGGAAAATATATCATAATACTTAAGGAAGCAGAAACTTGCTTGCAATTACCTGCAGTGATGTTGGAGGGATTGGTTGGTTTAGGGGGGGAAGGGGTAACAAACAAGTATCTGCTTACTGAAGTCAAACCTCCCCTGATGCAAAACGTTTTCATCAAAACTGCTTGTACACTGCTTTAATTTGGTGTTACCATATTGTAGAAGCCATTGGTGTTTTGTCAGCCATGTTGGTTTTTGCATTTCAGCATGTGAGACTGTAGACTGGCAGTATGCCCAGCTGGAGCTGCTGGAAAAACAGGGGATTGATCTGAGGCAAGAAATGGAGAAGAGGTGAGTTTTGGTGGGACATTTTGCCAGAGAGACCGTGAACTATGACCCCATTCCCATACCTAGATCAATCTAGCAGGATCGACCCATCTTCGCGGGGATTCTCACTAAATTACATTCAACTTAAGTCCGGCACACCTACTGAAGCTGCTGAACAATAGTTAATTACCCCTTAACAGCTTTAGTAAGTGTGCCAGAGCCACTCAAGCTGAATGCAATTTAGCGAGAAACCTCTCAGAGATGGGTTGGACCTGCTGGATCAACCTAGGTATGGGAACAGGGTCTATGTCTGTAAAAGGTAAACAATTGTATTTTATAGTACAAATGTCTGACAAGGTATCATCAAATTAGATGAATAATAATAAAAAATAGAATTTTTGGAGTAGTTATTGGACCACTACTGAAATGAGTAAAAATAAGTTAAATTTTAAAGTGCCTGTAAGTGCTGTGTTAGAGTATTTTGGTAATTATTGACAACAATAGGGGTCATAGAAACCCTGCATGTGTATATAGCCATTATATCGCCCATGTTTAATACCTCTTATGTTATCTTTATAAGAAAATATTGTATATAATATGGAAGTGTCGGTTTTTAGAAATTATGAGGGAAAGGAAAATATTCAATTAAGCTATGGAGAAGACAGTTGAACCTACACTCCCTTCTCTCTCTAGAGTGCCCTTGTTGCAAATGTCAATCATTTTAAGCTGCGTCATCTGACACTAATATCTCTCATATTGAAATCCTTTTAGAGATCCAATTCCGACATCAGCCTCCACTTTGTGTATTAATGTACAAAGTGCATTGCTGCGGTAAATTTATACATGTCATCTGCATTTATACATCAAGACTTCTGCCCACAATGTGTCTTCCCAGCTGGTGTTCTGAGGATTTTACTGAACCAAGGAGGACTCAAAATTTTGTAGAAGGGGCTTTGATTTAGGCTGTTATCGCAAATAAAATGTTCTCCCTGTATTGAATACCGCACGTGATCTTATAGAATAATCAAACTTGGAGTAAGAAAGGGTGATTTAATGAAAAGAGTTTATCGGAAAACTTCAATTGTTGTTTTTTTTTTTTTTTTTGTCGTATTTTTATAGTTAAGATGAGGGATTCAATATATTAAGTTGACTCACATAAGCAGCACGAAAAAAAATTTATTTCAATTCACCTAAACATCATGCTGAATAAACGTCTCCCAGCTCCTTTTTCTTTAACTAGAGGAAATTTGTAAAGAATGTGATGGCACTACTGAAAGTCAAGTTTTGGTGGTGAAAAGGCATGGGTCAGAATTTATGTGATTTCAATTGATTTCTATTATTTGACTCTTCACCAGTTCTTGGAAGTCTAAGTGGGTTCTTATTAATAGAGACATTATTTGAAGCACTTAAAGTATTATTTTTTATGATTTTTATTGATTTATTGTTAAGTCTTTAGAACGTCATTAGGTACTCAAATATCAGTTGTTTTTGTCTAAAGATAGGTTCATTTGAGCAAACTAATAGTGATTTTCTTTGAGAAATTCACATGATTTCTAACTGTTCTGAAGACCACAGGCTACGGTATGTCACTATTTGGATATCAGAAGTTTTTTTTCATTTATTAGTATGTTTTTATTTAATAACACAAGCCTTGAATGTAAATGGTTTTTTAATTATTTACTAGTATTGTTTTGGTAATCTAGAATTGGGGATTATAAAATTAACTCTTCTGTACAGTTATAGCTATCGCCAGAGTCTCTTTCAGTGTTAGAGGCAGAACAGTGTTATCGCAAATTCTTATTTAATGCAACAGTTACTGTTATAAAGGTTGAAGTTGATTATGATTGTTAAACGTTAAAGGACAACTCTTCATTTTTGTGGAAAAATTCGCCTGAGGTAAACAGCAATTTTCTTCCCAATGATAAATGAATCCATTCTAATACTCAAAGTTAGTCAATTTTCTTAAAGTAGTTTTTGTAATAATCTCCTAAGGGATTATTACGGAAAGTAGCCATCTATGGAGGTCCAATAATCGCTGTTTTGGGGGAAAATGGGATTTATTATATATTCTGTGATGTTTACAATGTATTTATTGTGGAACTTTGAGTCTCATATGAGGACTTGTTATCCATGATGGGAGTGTCCTCTTTCACAAAAGGTTCCATACTACTCTAAAAACAGGCTAAACATGTTTGTTACCTATGTGTTGTACATATTGAGCTTTCATCAAAGGGCTTTGATCAGGGGAAACATGCCCCATTGGTAGAAAAACAAGATTAGTCTTGAAACACTTAACTTTTTTATCCTCATTATACAAGAGCCAATGAAAGCCCTATTGTTACTGCTCTATATTGTTGTTGTATTTTTCTTTCCAGAGTAAATGAGATGGAGGAGCAGTATAGAAAGGAGAGAGAGGAGGCGGAGCAGGCCTTTGAACAGCAGAGGAAGGTAAGGAAAGATCTAAAATATGGAACAGAAAAAAGTGAATATAAATTGAGCTCTTCAGTGTTATTTTATACTAGTAGTTTATAGTGTTTTAATTTTGTAAATTATAAAAAACTGGACCTGGTGCTTTTTTCAATTATGCCTAAAAGGTACAATGGCAGATACTTTATGTTTGTAAAGGATAGGAATGTCTTTGAGAATCCTCAGGATTTGGGGTATACATGTAGGGAGTCCAAAATGTGAATATGTAATTTGGTCATCGATTAACAGGGAGTCCAAGCAAGCAAGCCCAACCAACCAATCACCCCCAAAATTTTGTAAGCTGTCCAGCTGTATTTGGAAATAGAGGCAGTCTTTTGAGACTAATGGTTGTCCAAATGAAAACTGAACTGCATTCTGGGGAAGGTCTAGACTGAGACCATATATTTAGTTAGAACTATTCTCATTGAAATGATGTTGTTTTTAGGATTACGAGAGCAAGATTCAAGTTCTCCAGGAACAAGTTGAGAGACAATCCATGATGAGCAGTCAGTATACCACTGGAGATGACATAGGGGAGGATGAGGAAGATGAAGCCTTTGGTCAGTCTAAGTTCATTTGAGTTTGTTCGACCATCTTAAAGTGCAATATTTTTGCTGTTTTTAAATTTCTTCATGTTCATTACTTGATTAAGCAATTTTTATTTTGAATTTCAAATATTTGAAGTGAAATTACACTAGTTTAAAGATAATTGTCGGTGTCTTCTTTGGGACAAAAACATTTTCAAACATTTTTTGATTCATTTGACATATTTGTGGTCATTGTATTCTGCATTTTGTTTCAATACACAAATTCTATACACTAATAGCCACAGTGCACTATAAACCATGCAGAAAAGAAAATGATCCCAGGTGATGAAGTTGTTGTCTCAATAGCTCATCTTGCTCTTTTTTAGAGGAGGAGTGTAAGTGGACAGAGCGTGAATACCAGTTGGCGGAATGGGCATACAGGAAGTGGAGATATCACCAATTCACCTGCCTGAGGGTATGTTACAGCAATACGATTTTAGTGGAGATGTTGAATGTATGTATGGTCTTTTTCAGTCTATGGTGTCAAAACATTTTAAGTCACAGTGTTTTAGAATTATTCAAGTGGTCTTTTACACATTTTACAAGTTTATTATTTCACACTGTGTCTTGTTGCCTTTGTACTGAAATTCAGGAAGCAGATGTTTTTTGTCGCAGCATGTTACTTTACAATATAAGTAGTATTCCATGCTGAGATCAAGGTTGGCACAAATTTTGGATGGGATATTACACAGAGATTGCTTGAAGTGAATTGTGATCAAGTCTCTGCTTCTTGATAATATGTGTTGCATGACTATAATTCTACTTCAGTAACTACCAAAATGTCTTTTCCAACTAACCTGAACGTGACATTGGTCAAATGTGACATTGGTTGGAAACGTGATGGCAAATGTTGTTGTCGTATTTTTGCAGTATGACGTCAGTTTACCATACAGTTTTCTCCAGTGTTGCATGGTACTGTGATTACTGTTTATTTGACACTCAGAAAAACTCCAGCATGTTAAATATCAGACCAAAAATTCCACGTCTAATCTGTGTGCACATGTGACATGAAATCATGGCACTTCTGTGTTTATCATACTGAATAAGACAAAAGTATTTTCTGACTTTTCCACAAAAAAAAGTATAAATGTCACATTATCCATATTGAGTTTGGTGTGGAAAGGTAATAGAAAAATGTGAGCACTCAGAGCTAATGTTTATGTTATTGATTATCACAAGTTGAATATAAGTACCTTGACTGTTTATGTTCTCTGTTGTACATTCTTTAATGTGATTTGTTAAATTTTGATAAATGTTCTGTTTTTATTATGTACAGACACAGATGTGTCTGTACATATTGCCATCACCTGCGTCTGTTGTCGCCGTCGTCGCCATCGCCGATGCCGGCGCCGTGCCCTTTCCTTGTTAACACGATAAGTGGAGGGCAGTTTTACTTTTTGGCTTTATATTTACAGAGCTGATGAATATTCATAAAACGCAGGTCAAGTTCGAAAATCAGCATGATCGGGCCATTATTGTCGAAGTTATGCTGTTTTTTCATTTTTCAGCATATATGCAACCCTGTAAACACATATTAAGGAAAACCGATAGGCCTGTTGTCATGAAACTCACAGGAGTAATCAATCTTACTAAAACGCAGGTCAAGTTCGAAAATCGGCATGATCGGGCCACTATTTTTGTAGTTATGCTGTTTTTTCACTTTTTAGCATATATGCAACACTGTAAACACAATATAAGAAAAACAGATAGACCAATTGTCATTAAACTCACAGGAGTGGTCAATATTACTAAAATGCAGGTTGAGTTTGAAAATGAGTATAATCGGGCCATTGTTTTAGAAGTCATGCTGTTTTTTCACATTTCCTCAAATTCAATTCTTAGGCATGTTAACAGTCTTATTATTTAATTAATAAGACACATAAAAGTGTTTGTTTGACATTTCCTGCATCTTTACAACATTGTTAGTTGATTTTGTAGAAATGATGGTAAACTTGTTATCGTGTATTGTGTAATAAAGTGTCAAAAATGGAAA